GGCAACAAAACATTTGGAATGAACTACAAATGATCCTTGAACTGCAATTCTAGCATACTAACAGAAAGTGTGATCAAGAGTCAGCAATGCTATGACCTTGCAGTCACAGTCCAATAATAACAATCAGCATGCACTACTCTGTTCTTGATTGCAATACTGCCATTGTTTAGCCATGTTTGAATTAGACCCGTCTGAAAAATATTCACTTTTGTTCTCTGGACATGGCCACTTTATTTCTGAAAAATTCCTCTTGTTGAAATGCTCTGCAGGAAGGGGCTTCTAAGAAGCACGAGCTCAAATCTAAGCAAAAATTGGAAAAAGAAGCTCAAGTTTTACTCAAGTAGGTGTGACCTTATCTTAAGTCGATTTATTTTTTCTATGAGATCTTGATTCATAGATTCCCTCATGTTGTCCTGTCATCCATCTTTCATTGCGCTGTTGAATTAGATGTATGTACAAGCCAGACATATGTAGGTAGTATGGTGTTGAGGGTTAAAAGTTTGATTGTATGGAAGAACTGACTGAAGTGCTGGCCTTAGGATAAAGGCATTTGTAGATACAAACTGGACATGTAACATTTGTAGATACAAACTGAATTTTCATAATTCTGCAATGTGGATGATAGATAGCTCTATTTAATCTGATGGATAGAGACGAATGTTTATGAACTATATTTGTAAACTTCAAATGTTTACTTTGAACACATGAACCATGGAATCCCAGTCTTCATATTCAGTCATTTACAATTGCAACATCTAGCAATGAGTAGCACGAGGTATCCCATGCTTGTACCTTCTTCAGCAGTTGGTCAATTTTGTTTTTCATACAATGTCATTGCATTTTCTAGAGAAGAAATATTAACTATCAATGGGTTGTCATCTCCATTCTTCATTGTCTGAAAAAGATGAATAATGGTTCTTTTGCATAGTCATCCGCATAGTAATGTTTACTTTCAGATGCTCTAGACAGGTGTCTATCTTAGCACTTGATTTCTCATAATGTAGGACTATCAATATTTCCCTAAACATTATGACTTTATCCACATAGTTTATTTGCCAAATAATTCAAGTATGCCACTGCAGAATTTGAGGGTGCCATCTCTGGTGTTCCTGGTAGTCAAAGAAAACATTATGTGTTTACTTTCAGTTTCTTGTATGGAGTAAATAGGTTATTTGTTAAAATACAGTATGAACGGATTATATTAGCTGAATTGCATTATATGTCTATGCAGTCTCTTGCTAGACAGCTAAGGTAATGATGTTAGATGAACTAAACATTGTAAAAACATAATGATATGAGAAAAGGGTCCAAAACAACAAATTTATGCTATTAGAGAATACACTGGAGGTAACTACAGAAGTAGACTTTTTGCTTCCTTCAAATCATTCCACATAAGACTTAGTGCACTACTACTCTTCCATGTATTCCTCCATCTACAAGTGACATAGCGGCCTTTCAACCTTAGGTAAAATCTCATCATCCAATCTAGCAAACATCTTCTATGTGAATCGACCAAGAACATGAATGTCTCTTTATCATCTCATATGGTTTTTCTCTAGCACTACTACTCTATTGCTCTAAACTGCAATATCGTCTATATGTTAGGATGGATGACCGTCAGTGGATGTACACGGGCTATCAGAAGAGGGGTCAATACACAAATGAATGGATTGAGAAGGCCAATGATTTCATGACGAAGGCATTTGCAAATGGACGGCGACATGCCTAGTGTCCCTATAGGAAGTGTAAGAACAAGGCAATGAAAACATATGAGGAGATGAGTAAAGATCTTGTCAACAATGGATTTGTAGAGAACTATACCCGGTGGACCATGCATGGTGAACGCCATCGTGCGAGAGAAGAGGTCGTGAGACAACGGATCGAGGAGTTTGATTCTGAAGCCGGGGTGGCATAAATGTTAAATGACCATGACATGGCTTTCGATGAAGGAAGTGCAGAGCAGGAGCCAGAGCAAACTGCAAAGGCGTTTTACGCCATGTTGGATGCGGCACAACAACCCCTTCACGGGCGCACCAATGTTTCTAAACTGGATGCCATTGCACGTCTAATGGCTGTGAAGTCCCAGTTTAGCTAGAGTAGAGAATCCTTCGATCAACTGTTGACAGTAGTTGGCACCCTACTTTCGGATGATCACGTTCTGCCAAAGAACACGTATGAGTCAAATAAAATCCTTCGTGCACTCAAGATGTCGTACGAGCAGATACATGCTTGTCCGAACGGATGCATCTTATTCAGGGGAGAACATGCTGACGATAAGTACTGTCCGAAGTGTAAGGCATCTAGGTACATTGAGTTAGAATCTGGTGATGGTCGGAAGACGCAAACAAAAGTCGCCGCAAAGATCCTGACTAAGGAGCAATACTTGACGGTAAACATGAGATGATACATCGTCTGCGATTAATTGCACTGAAATTGATTTATGATTTGTCATGTGCTCGTGTACGTGCAGGTGCCTCCTGCTTGGTGTGCGGGGATGGACAACTGCTGGGAGGCCATTGTGGACAAGTGGTTGAGTGAGGAGTACAAGCAATATCATGTCGTACGCTCACATTGCCGTGCGATGATGCAGGGTTCCTCGCACAAACAAGGCCCCACTACCCTCAAGGAATATGCAGCCAGATATGTACGTGGATTTCATTTCGTTGTTGCTATGCTAACTTCTGAATGCATAATATCTTATTGTTGTGTTTCTTCCTGCAGATGCGGTTCCACCCCGTCTAGGAGTGCGCCTCGTTCAAGGCATATGCCTTGGCACACAAGGGCAAGGCAAAGGACCCCGACCTCGTCTACAACCCGGAGGACCCGCCCGAGGCATACAGCAACCCGAGCGTGCACAGGCGCCTCAGCGAGTACACGGCGATGGCGAGAGAGATCCATGGGTCAGAATTTGATCCGAGCACCGCTGACCTCGAGGGTGACATCGTCATTAGGTTGGGACCAGGTAAGCCACACGGGCGGTACTATATGGGCAACAACACCATAGACACGGCCAACACTCAGACACTCGCCCAGATTAGAGCCCGGATCACGAGTTCGAGTCCGGCCATACGCCCACGCTCACAGCCCCAGGTGGTAGCACTCCAGGTTAGTTCTGTTGCATTCATTGTCCATTCATTTTCTACTCGTTCTTTATTTGCATTCTAACTATGTGATAAATAATTGTAGGCCCAGATTGAAGCCCTGCAGGAGTCACAGCAGGCCTCACAGAGCCAGCTTCAGGCCCTCGAGCTGTCGCACCAGGCCGAGTTGGCACAGGAGAGGGCGCGAGTGCAGACCCAGCTTGAGGCCTTCCAGCAGGCGCACAAGGACTGGTACGAGTACATGGCCCGTTTTTCTCAGAGCATGGGCCAGCCTCCACCGCCTCCGCCGCCGCCGATGATACCGTTGGTGCCTCCACCTCCGCGCGACGGCACTCCTGTGAGTCACTTAGATGCACTCTTCACTTTCATGTCATATAGAGATACCTTCGACTTATACCTTAGTTTCACCTACCATAGCTTAGACCTTAGAATTTGCTTTGACTCACATGTGCAATCTCATTCTAGGGACCTTCTACAGCTGGATCGAACAACGATATGCAGGGTGATCAAGACCTGGACTTGACTCCGTTTCTCCGCAGGCCTCCGACCATGTGACAAGCCATCCGACCTTGTTTGATAGTTTTGTATGTTGAAATGTGGACTTGGTTGAACTTTGTGGACTTTGGACATATGTTGATGGTGTTTGTGGACTTTGCATGGTGCTTGTCGACATATGTTTGTTATTGTGAGTGGATGTGACATTTGTGGACATATATGTGATATATATTGCCTATCTATCATGTTATTATAATTTCCTGTGATTTTGTTGCTTATTGTGACGGGATATGCACTGAAACAAACAAAAAAAAATTCTGTGGACATATTTTACCGAGTGTAGCACTCGGTAAAACAGAGATTCTGTCAGTTTTACCGAGTGTAGCACTCGGTAAAACAGCCAACAGAACCAAATTGGTTCTGATTCTGTGAATTTTGCCGAGGGTGCCATTTTTTACCGAGTGCCGCTTCCCCACTCGGAAATATTTGACTACTTTTTACCGAGTGAAAACACTCAGTAAACATTATTCCTGAAGTTTATTTGCGGAATTGTTTTAATCACGAAAATGGTTATTATTTTACCGAGTGTTAGGAGCTACACTCAGTAAACATTATTCAAAAAATTTATTTGCGGAATTGTTTTAATCACGAAATGCTAATTTATTTACCGAGTGCTGCTAGTGACACTCGGTAAACGTCGCCTTAAATTAACAGTTTGGAGGCTGACAACCGTCAAGTCATAATTGTTTACCGAGTGTCATTGTAGCACTCGGTAAGTCTCTGCGCCGAGTGTGCCGATATTAGACACTCGGTAAAATAACTTCACCGAGTCGTTGTTTGCCGAGTCCACTTTACCGAGTGTGGCACTCGGTAAAGAGTTTGCCGAGTGTGTAGCACTATTTGCCTAGTGTTACTCACACTCGGTAAATTAACAGTATCCCGTAGTGACTCAAATTAGCTCTTCGATTCCTTTGACTAGTGAAATCAAATAGTAGCAATATATTAGTTGCAATCCTTTGCAAACTCTATCCCTTTAATTAAAAGCAGTAACACACGCAACTGGAAAAAAATGTACGCGCAAAAGCCAATCCGCTTCTGTTTATGGATAACTTGGTGCTCCCATTCTTATCACAATTGCGACCTTTCAATACATAAGACGCACGTGTCTGAACGGTACGAACACTCCAAGCTAGGCTACCTTACGTGTTCCAACTAACTTACCAATGTATTCAGTCAGCCTCATCGTCATGCATTGATCTCTCCCTATATATTGAACTCCATGCCGACCCTCTCATGCATGTCTTCAATCAGTTGCATAACAGTTCTCTTCTCTAACAACCAAATCATATCTTCTTCCTCTTCATCAGCTAGTCTCTGTGTTGTTGGTCGTTGATGAAGAGAGCCATGGCCTGGCCTTGGTTACTGCCTTTCGGCCTCTTTTTCGTTGCCTCTGTTGCTCAAGCTGCTGTTGTGGAGCACACCTTCAATGTAATCCACATGCGCATATACAGTTTTTCCTTTCTACTTCATATCTCTTTCGTTGGTCGCCATGCATATATATAGTATCTGTTTAATTACGATAGTTAGTTCTGTTATGCAAGCACCATGTATGTATGTTTATATATATATATATATATATATATATATATTGCTCACATATGGTTTCATATATGCATGCATGCATAAATATATTGTTTCTAATGATGTTTATGCATCGGTAGTATTTCTTGATTCTATTGGCGGCGCATCATGCAAATGTCAAGTTTACTAGTGGACCACTCAATTTTTTTTTCACATTATTAATCACTCGTGTGTTTAATTATCGCCAGGTCGGGAACCTGTCTATAAGCCAGCTGTGCCAGCCGGCGAGGATCATCACGGCGGTGAATGGGCGGCTTCCCGGCCCGACCGTCGAGGCCCGGGAGGGCGACACGGTGGTTGTTCACCTCGTCAACGAGTCGCCCTACAACATGACCATTCACTGGTGGCTATCTAATCGCTGTCAAAGCTACTAGTACATTTTCGTGCATCAACTTGCGCATGCAAAGCTTTGTTTTTTATCAGTCACCTTCGCACTAGCTACCTAGCTGCATGAGCATGAAGTAACATCATTTGTAGAAGGATAAATTAAGTCTCGTGTAAACCAGTGCAACATCAAACATAGCAAAACCCTACATACCAATATGCAGACGCCGCCACCTAACAGAAAGAGGTCTCCTCGTTGACGTTTCAGGTTCCGATCCGTGCAGTGAATAAAACACTTTAATAAGCTTTAGACGTGTCAAAATTACCTAGCTAGGTCGTAGCTTATTGCTCATCCCCAAGGGTACTTTGCTTGCTAACATCATTACAGATAGCTTCGATTACTGGCAGCAATGGTAAAAGAATTGCACACACACACACACACACACACACACACACAGCTGAAAGATAATGAAGTTAAAAAATTTTCTCCCAATGCAAAGCATGCCCATGGTGCAGTGAACGGTGGTTAATTTGTTCTTGTGACGACGAACCAACCTCGCAGGCATGGCGTGTTCCAGCGCGGCTCGCCGTGGGCGGACGGGCCGGCGATGGTGACGCAATGCCCCGTCAAGCCGGGCGCCAACTACACGTATCGCTTCAACGTGACGGACCAGGAGGGCACGTTGTGGTGGCACGCCCACATCTCCTTCCTCCGCGCCACCGTCTACGGCGCCCTCGTCATCCTCCCCCGCGGCGGCGCCGGCGCCTACCCCTTCTCCCCCAAGCCCCACAGGGAGGAGACCGTCATCCTCGGCGAGTGGTGGAACGCCAACGTCTACGATCTGCAGCAGCAGGTGTTCCTCACGGGGGACACGACGAGGATGCCGCCCGCCGACGCCTACACCATCAACGGCAAGCCGGGAGACTTGTACAACTGCTCCGCCGCTAACCGTATGTTAATGGCTAGATCACTGATGTTTAATTAAAGCTCACGCTAATTACTGATGTCTGAAGTTGATGTTTATTTGTGTATATATATACGCGCGTGCAGAGACTTACAATTTCCGGGTGCGGAGCAACGAGACGTACCTGCTCCGGATCATCAACGCCGCACTCAACACGCCCATGTTCTTCAAGGTGGCGAACCACACCTTCACCGTCGTCGGCGCGGACGCCGCCTACACCACGCCGTACGAGACCGACGTGGTGCTGATCGCGCCCGGGCAGACCGTGGACGCGCTCATGGTCGCGGGCGCCGCCGTCGGGCGCTACTACATGGCGGCATCCCCGTACGACAGCGCCATCCCGCAGGGGCCGCAATTCAGCATGACCAACGGCACGGCCATCGTCGAGTACGCTGGCTCGGCTGGGGAGGACAAGCCGCAGCTGCCGCCGCGGACGGAGTACAACGACACGGACACGGCCTTCCGGTTCCTCTCCAACCTGACGGCGCTGGTGCTCCCCGGCAAACCGACGGTGCCGCTGTCCGTGGACACCCGCATGTTCGTAACCGTCGGGCTCGGCAACGGCGACTGCCAGCCCAAGCAGACGCTGTGCAACACTACGGGGACGACTCCCCCCATCTTCTCGGCGAGCATGAACAACGCGTCCTTCCTTCTCCCCAGACGCCGTCTCCATGCTCCAGGCGCACTACTACGGGGACGACGCGTCGGCCGGCGTCTACACCCGCGACTTCCCCGACCGGCCGCCGGTCATCTTCGACTACACCGCGGTCGCCAGCGACAACGACACCCTCAAGTACACGACCAAGTCCACCAAGGTGAGGACGCTGCGGTACAACGAGACGGTGGAGATGGTGCTGCAGAACACGCGGCTGATTGCCAAGGAGAGCCACCCCATGCACCTCCACGGCTTCAACTTCTTCGTGCTCGCCCAGGGCTTCGGCAACTACGACGAGGCCGCGGCGGCGCCGCGGTTCAACCTCGTCAACCCGCAGGAGCGCAACACCGTCGCCGTCCCCACCGGCGGCTGGGCCGTCATCCGCTTCGTCGCAAACAACCCTGGTAAAGAATCTGTACTGTACATTTTTCATAAATCATAATTATTTACTTGCATCGATTGAAATGTACTAATAACTGGAGTAATAAGGATCAAATAAATTGTATCTATTATTTTGCAGGGATGTGGTTCATGCACTGCCACTTCGACGCCCACCTTGATCTGGGGCTGGGAATGGTGTTCGAGGTTCAGGACGGGCCGACGGCGGAGACATCGGTGCCGCCGCCGCCAATGGACCTACCTCAGTGCTAAAATCGTTCGTTGTCAAACGTGACTCTTTGAATTGGGTGATGGATTTGTCAACAGAAAAAAGTGTACAAGCTTTGTCTACTAGCTATGTTGTGATTCTTAACTATATATTGTTTGTCCGATCCGCTACAAGATTATTGTTCTACTGGCATAGGGAGCACACGCATTTTTATATGTAAAAAGTCGAGTCATGGATATGATTGTTTGAGTTTGGTGTATAAATAAATTGGATACGTACGTCACTGGATAGGAGTTATTATTCATTCGGTCATGACATTTGACTAGCTAGTTGCTATACTTATTCGCTTGTATGTATAGTCGCACAAACCATATCTACAAATCTTGCTATATATAATTTGTAAATGTAATAATGGTGACGTAAGTTGAACCGCGCGTTAGGGTTGAAAACAGAGCTCACCGGCTCCACCTGGACAAATGAAAGTAATGTCTTGGGCAGCAAGTTGATTGAGACACTTGGATGGCACGCGTGATGACGCGGATGCACCGAACGGAGGGAGTACGTGGTTGGGCGCTGAACATCCATCAGAAATATCATTATTGCACTTTTCTTCTACAAAATCTCTTCAATCCTACTCTTTTGCCAAAAGGCTCAAAACCTTTACCATGTCGGCCCTAATTCCATAACTCCGAGACGGCGTTTGGATTCTACCCACTCTTCTATATATTTCTCGATCTCTCCACTTCATTATCAATGAAATTGGCACTCGTGTGCCTGTTCGTTCAAGAATATAAGATATATTTCTCTCTGCTGCCTTTTGGTGTACTTAACATCATTTACTAATATATATTGTCCTTTGAACTTCAGGGTCTTTCACCCTCTAACTTCAATCTTGCCCAAAATTTTCCCGTTTCAGAATACATGTAGTTAAATGTTTTTCATCACTTTGACCATCACTATATGAAAAGTTATATAGATTGACAATGTAAGACAAATGTGGTTAAATTTAAGAATTTTTTTACTATGGTTGAGAGGAATTTCAATGGCTTACGATGAGCGATCCGACGGCTAGGAAGGTAGAGGCGTTGAGATGCCTCTACGATAACACCTCCCGATGCCTCATGGCTGTTTCTATGGTTGGTGGGCCCATATACACCACAACGCCTCCCGACACCTCCAAAATTGAGGGGATTAAAAAGGAGTGGTAATTCCTTTTTCGAAATTCTTTTATGTAATTAAGGGTAAAACGGTAAATCTATAATTATAAAAATATTTTTTTGAGCAGTATAGTTGGTGTGGATAATTCAAGTATTATAGTTAGATGAATATTTTCTTGAGTAGTATAGTTGGGATGAATAATTTAAATAGTATAGTTAGATAAACATTTTATTTCCAGGGTTCATCCAAGCCACCGCCGCCGCCACGTCCTGCTCTGCCGCCTACCGCCCGCTGGTGCTCCCGACCTCGCGCCAGGACATCTAGACCGCCGTCGCTTCAGCTCATGCCAACGGCGAGTTCGCCTCAGCAGCTTTCATCTCTGTGCCTCCCGCCTCCGTCTCCGCTACACTGTCCGCCACCACGCCACCCATCCACGCCGCCACCGCCGCTCCGAAAAGAGTCGCATGCCGCTATTGCGCGCCGGCCTCGCTCCTCGCATGCCGCCGTTCTCCGCGCTTGCCCTCGCTCCTAAGCCGTCGCCGTCGAGGGTCCCGGCCACCCACGCCAAGCCCCAGCGACCCAGTCGACCAGGGCCGTGGACTTGCCTTCCTTCGATGTTCTCTCCCACCGACCTCGCTCCTCGCGCGTCACCGTTCTCCGCCCTCACCGTCGCACCCGTACCGTCACCCTCGCTCTCGGCATCATGCGCCATGGCCACCCTCCCCGTCGCCCTCGTTCACGGCATCGCACGCTGCGGCCACCCTCGCCGTTCTCCGCAGCGCCTCAGTTGGCCTGGGCGTCAGGCGCCAAGCCCACAGCGAGAAAATCGCATATGAAAATCAAGGCATGTTTTCCTTTTTATTTACACATGGTTATTACCTTCATGTTTCGCAGGTGAGAAACAAAGTACTACAAGAAGCCAAATGCTCTGGACATGACGTGAGGTACGAGCATCTTGATCTGAACCCAGGAATTATAGTCTCTTCAAACTACACTTTGCTTTAAGCATATTCATAACCTGTACAGTTTAGGTATTTCTTCACAACATGAACTCGGTCCGTGGGAACAACATTTTCTTGGTTACCCCACAATAATTCTTTTGATTCCATATTGTGCCGTTTGGCCTGTTTGGTGCAAATCGCCACTCGCTAGCTCTTTGACTGTTTGCGGTTGGAGAGAGTGAATTCATAAATTAGAGTTGATGGCTGATGCTTCACTTGATTGCTTTAACAATTGATGGGCATATGGAGTTAAGTGAGATGTAATGATTTGTGATTAGTAATCTGGTTATGGTACTTCTGTCTTATGGTATCCTTTTCTAAATTTGGTTTGCTTTTTGACGTATGGTTGCTAACAGTTGATTAAGATCACAGTCTGTGCATAGTGCACTTGAATCCATTGTGATTAATAATCTGTAAGTTGTGAGCATTGGACACATTTCATGTACCTTGTATTTAAATGGTGTATATATCTTCATGTGCTTATAAGTTAGTTTGTATCTGTTTATGATCGTCTCCTTACTCTGGACTGCAGATCTGAGAAGAAGAAATGGTGTTGATACATTCTGGATATTTTAAACTACAGGAAGAAATTGACAGGTGAAGACTGGCAACTGTGATGCTATGGCAGTAAAGTGTATGGAGTCTGGTGTTGATACATGTAATGCTGAATTAATTATTAGTGTGCGTATCAGCCAGCAGTTAGCAATTAATTATTAAGATTTAAGAGTGCAAAGACTTAAGAATGGACAAAAGGGCTGTGAATGGTGAGGTCAAAAGGAATTATTAATTATGGCGTATAAGTTGTAGGCATAGCTGTAATCCAAAACTAGAAACTAAGTTCAGGTTTTGAAAAGCGTATCTTCTCCCTTAGCATACTCAAATAAGCAAACAAAACAAATCCACCATCCTACACTTCAACAGTGATAAAGGTCACATTTTTTCCAACACATCTGCACTTCGAATGCAACTAATTCTGGTCAGTCACCCACAGATCGGTTGTGCGACAACAATCTACTAATCAGCTCAACATCGCAAAGCATTAACAAGTTTAGATTAGCCAAATCCCACCTTGAGGAGCACAGTGTTGATACAGAAGAACCACTATGTGAAAAACAGTTTGTAGCAATGGGGCTTTTTTTAGGGGTGGCTGGCATTGGAGCAGCCCCTACAGTGGCATGCTCGGGCTCCAGCACAGCAGCCGCCCCTACAAATTGCACAGTAGGGACTGCTGGTAATATGAGCCGCCCCTACAAATGCGTCGATTTGTAGGGGCGGCTGGTATATAGACAAGAGAACATCAGGAGCCGGCGCGGCCTCGTGATGGACATGTCAATGAATCGAATGCCGCCCGTTGGATTTGAAGATCGACGGTGTTGTTGTTTCCATGTCGTGTGTGTGTGTGTGTATATAGGCTTCAACCCTAGCTCCCATCTGCATCTGCACCTGCCTCTCCTCCCTCTCCCTCCTCTCTCAGCAGCGGCTAGGGCGGGGACCGGTCGCGCAGTGTTCGGGCGAGGGCGCCGCAGCCCCCCATGAGAGAGGCTCGAGCACCGGCTAGGGAGGCCAGGCACGGCGGTGCGAGGGGCCCCGGCGTGGATGGCCCCCGACGCGAGAGGCAGCGCGAGGGGCCCTAGCACGGCTGCCCCCGCGCGAGCAGTGTCACGAGGGGCCTAGCTCGAGCAGACCACCAGCAGCTCCGGCGGGCGTCCTGCGCGGCGTCCCCAGCGAGGGTGCCCTCCGGTAGGGCGGCCCCCAGCACGGCAGCCTAGCACGGGCGGGCTACGGCACGGTGGCCTGACCACGGCCGCGTCTGCTTCTCATGCTGCGTCAGCTCCGGCGGATACTCGGCTAGATCCATGGGGTGCATGGTCGGATCTATCGTCAGTTGCAGATACTCAGCTCTTCATCCTATTTTTCCTGTACTGATGTTATGGCTGGATGGATGTCCAACAGGTTTACCTGTGGGTTGTGCAGGTAGTGCCGCAGAAGCCGAGTTCAAGATATGCAATTTCATGTTTGTTGTTTGCTTCCACCTAGGCATTGACAAAGAAGAAGGTGCTTAGTAGCTCGGACTGTACTGCCAAAATTTAGATGGATGAATATAAAGCATTTAAGTCAGCAAGGTATTTATGTGTGTGCTTCTTTCTCTTTTTTTGAACTAACTCCCAGTGAATTTCATTCTCACCCCAATTCTTATGTATGGCTCACAGTTTTGTAAACTGATATGTAATGATGGCTGCTGTTAATGTTGAAAGTAAAGGGATGGAGCATGGAGGCGAAAGGAAATTTCATTTATCCATGGAGGCTTCTCCATGTCCTTGACATTTCAGCAATTTAGAATTTCCTTAAGTTTGGTCAATAGATTTAGATTTCACCAATCTTGTATGGTTTGTAATAGGCTGATTACTTTGCTGTGATGCAGGTAGCTTTGTTGCTTGGTAGCTACTAAGAACAATGCCTCCGCTACAGCAAGGTAAAGAGACAGCTAAAAAAAACTAGATGGCTAGTGTCAGCCTCGTGTCCTGTTTCATATCCAATTGGTGCATGGACATAAACATGACAAGATGAAAAGAGAGTCACCAGTAGAACCAAGAAAATTCTAGCTTTAGTGCCTCCTATATCCATTTTAGCCTTTTTAATGTTGTGTTGCCTCCTTTTCCCTACAGGTTGTAGTCAAGTCCCAAAATAAATTTGTATGTGTGCAGTTTAGCTTTATTTTCATGTTTAAGAGTCTCAGGTGACATATGTTTAGATTTTTTGTAAACTGGTCCCAAAATAAAAGTAGAACCAAGTATTCATTATTTGCCTATCCATACGGGCTTTATTCATTATATTTCATTATTTGCCTATCCACATAGAGCTCTACTCAGTACATTTCATAATGC